TTCCTTCCTTCCTTCCTTCCTTCCTTCCTTCCTTCCTTCCTTCCTCTGTTGATTGTTTGGCCAAGACTTCTGGGGATTGAAAAACTTGGGCCTTCTGACTTGTAAATATTGGAATTTGGTTTGCTTAGGTTTCTAACCCTTTAGACATAAGTACTGTATTGGTAGAGTTTTTTTTTTTTTTTTAAAGAAAAGAGGAAAAACTTGAAAGAGAATGTTAGGGAAGCAACCAGATCGGAGAAGAAACAGAAGTTTGCATTCGCCCTGAAATCTTTGCAAAAGCAGAAACTGTTCTCAATTTCATTTCTTTTCTTTTCTTTTTAAATGCCTTTTATCACGCAAGATGGTCTCTCCAAATGCTCCCTCCTCCACGGAAAATAATGTGCAATACAGGGTGGTGTTTTTTTTTTTCTTCCTGCGTTTTTGTTCCCCTTGTTCCCTCCCCCCCACAACCCACACCCATGCCTTGAAATACGAAACAAGTTGCCAGACATAAAAGGGACAGAAGGGACTCTTAACAAAAGAACAGAGGGGTTCTAGTCCCTAGGAGCCCTTCTTGGAGTTACACTTTGTGGCTTTTTAATGGAAATCCTACACGTTTTAAAAGGAGGGGGAGGGAGAGAGGGAGGGAGGGAGGGCCAGGCAATGAAAAGAATCCAAAGGGGCTTATTGACTCTTTCCCATTGTTAAATAGATTCAATCCATGAATAGATCAAGAAAACACTCCCATCTTCCTCCATCTCTTCCCCCCCCCCCCCAAAAAAAAATCAATAAATCTGGGCACATGGAGGTGTGTGCCTGGCTTGTATATATATCTAGCTTTCTCTATTTGTAATATACAGCTTATTTTTCATGCCCTATTTTATTAAAACGTGACAAGCGAGAAATAAAACGACTTCTAGTTTGATAATGAGCATGTCCTTCTCGGCAGTCTTTATCATTTGGGGGAAGCGGGGTTGGGGTGGGGTAGGGGGAATTTCAGGTGACCAGGGGAATGCCAAAGCAGGTTGGCACCCATTGGATGGCATTTTAGGGCATCCTGCAGGGGTAAAGTCGCTGGAGCTCTTGTACAGCTCTTTTAAAGGAAGGGAGAAAATGGCTGGAGCATTCACACAACTTCTGAAGGCAAGTCGTTCCATTGGTTAATTGTTCTCATTGTTAGGAATTTTCTTAGTTTTCTCCCGTCATTGCTGCTTCTCCTGCCTTCAGGTGCTTTGGGGGATAGCTTGACTCCCTCTTCTTTGGGGCAGCCCCTCAAATATTGGAACCCTGCTATCATATCACCTGTAGTCCTTCTTTTAGTTAGGCTAGAGTCTAGACCAAGGCTCTTCAAACTTGGCAACTTTAAGACTTGTGGACTTCAACTCCCAGAACAGGTCTGGAGGAGGAATTCTGGGAGTTGAAGTCCACAAGTCTTAAAAGTTGCTAAGGTTGGAGACCCCTGGTCTAGACATACCCAATTCCTGCAACTCTTCTTCCTGTGTTTCAGCCTCCATTATCTTTGTCGCTCTTCTCTGCACTCTCTGCCACAATCTCTACACCTTTTCTATATTGTGGTGTCTAAAACTGGATGCAGTATTCCGAGTGTGGTCTTACTAAGGCTTTAGAAAGCAGTAGTAGAACAGCTGCATTCACCTGAATGCAGAGAACAGCTCTACGTGCAGGGGTGAAAAAGAGATGGCGGGACACAGCGGACGTGGGTCTTGAGTGGCAGTACATCTGGCAACTCAAGGAGTTAAAGCAGCCTGGTGCAGTGGTTAAAGCAGGGACTTTTGAAATCTATGCTGGAGTTGGCCAGGAAGTGGAAATGGGGCAGGGAGGTTCGAAGTGGAAGTAACACTTCCCCGTTTCCCTGTCATTGGAAATTCTCAGGAAGAAACTTTTAAAATTGTCCATACTCTACACCCCTGACAGCTTTAAGACCTGTGGACTTCAAATCCCAGAATTCCTCCTCGTCATGTTAGCTCAGGAATTCTGGGAGTAGAAGTCCACAAGTCTTAAACTTGCCAAGTTTGAAGACCCTTGAGATAGATGGATGATAGATAGAAGATATAGATGAGATAGATAGATAGATAGATAGATAGATAGATAGATAGATAGATAGAT